CACAGCACAGCACAGCACAGCACAGCACAGCACAGCACAGCACAGCAGGCTCCACTCAGCTCAGCTAGAGAGGTGCTCGCTCACAAAAAGCTGGAAGATCCCAGTTGGCAGGCAAGAGAAGCAACTTGAGCTGAGCGGATGGACAGAAGCTGGACTGAGAAGTGCTCTCTGCACAAAGAGAAAAAGGATTTCTTTTCCTGGTATGTTGTTCTATCAGTTGTAATTACTCCTCCTGCTCCCAGAGCAGGAAGGAAACAGTGATGAAGAATCGTGGCAGCAAGTTTACTGGTCTGGTTCTGGAAAAAGAAGTCTCCATTGATCCTACAAATTAATGAGGCAATGCTGACCTTAAGGAGATTAGGATCATTAGCAGGGCATTCTGCACTGCCTGCTCTAAAGCCAGTCATGCAGTAGAGATTAAAAATCTCAGAAGATACAGAAGCAGCAGGATAACTAGGGAAGACACTTCCCTTTGCAAGCCCCACAGTCAGCAGTAGCTTGAAGAGATCATTTTCAGCAGAGGCCAGCTGGAGAAGTGAACGGCTGATGCCTCAATTTACAAAGCTCTCCAACTCTCTGCTTCCACCAGCTTAAGCTTGGAGATGGTCTGGAGCATGCTCAAAGGTGATGAGCCCCGTATAGGAATCTGAACGAACCAGAAAGCTCTGGCTTTCCCTTTCTGGGTACCTGCTGTGCCATCTGCCTGGAGCACCACGAGCAAACGCCACTGCGATTGTAAGGAATTGCTGCAAATAGGAACTGCTACAGCCTTCTGATCTCTGGAAAGCAAAGTGCTGTCCATCCCCGACCGCCTGTTCTTCCTACTCCAGGTTACTGGTATGGAGGAAAGTGCACACTCTCCTACCTCACAAAACCTTCTCACTGGAACAGCGTGCTGGATCTTCATTAGCGTCATTTATCTTCACTGTGAATCTTTCTCATGCAATGTAAAGGCTTGCTAAGTTGGTCAAATGCTACAGTGACCTCTCCTGTACCAAATCCTTCTTCTCTGTGTGGCTGAATACCTTCCTTCCTCCGTGCACAAATACATCAGGGCACTTATACACCAATCAGTTTTAATGAGCAGGATTGTGCAGCTGAACATTCTGAAAGCAAGGAGCTTCATGCGAGACACCAGCAGAGTGAATGTGCACACCTGTACCTTGGGTTTATGTAACACGGATGCATGATTTTCAGTGTACTTTACACAAGTGTATCATTAGGCCACCATCACTGACTACAAAACACTGGAAATCCTTTTACTTAATTCTGAACACAGAGCAAATGTGATGGTGCTAAATGAAGATCCCCACCACCCGCCTCTACTACTGTGGTGTACAATGATGGTTACAAGAAGAGGGAAATTGTGGGTACCTGACGCTGTGGAGGTAGATGCCTGGTCATCGTCTGGCTGAACTGTCTGCCGAACAATTCTGTCAATCTCCATGATGTCCATCCACTGGCTCAACTCGTTCTTCAGTTCTGCCAGCCGCTGCTGGGTGGCGATCTTCTCTCTTGCCAGCCGCTCCATCTCATGCTCGTATTCCTTTTCCTTTCTCTTTAAAGTCTGAAGACAGAACAAAGTAAAGGAAAAATCTAAGAAGAAAAAACACAGATGTAATCTACGCTGACTTGGTCGTTGCCACATTCATTGCTGGTTCTCTTTTATTATTAGTTATGCTGGCATAGCTGCATTCAGGTAAAGTTACCTCTTCCAAGTACACACAGAAGGGAAAGGACCTGGCCACAAAAACCTATAGGGTTGCTTTGGCCAACCACTTTCTGCTTTCTAAAGGAAAACTAATGAGTCTCCGAAACTGAAACGGTTAACAGGTCAGGTGCGAGTTACCTCAGCTCCAGGGGGAGCAGCCTACAACTCCATAGGAAGAGCTGCAGAACTTCACCACCAGCAGTCAGCACTCAGTTCTCAACAACAGTCTGACCTCTCCTGACTCATGAAACATCAAGGGCATTAAGGCTTATTGCAGACTGCTGGAAAGGCGTGAAGGAAGCACAATGGGTGCAGCTTTCTCCTCGTCACCACGTAGAAGAATATGCTTCTACTACATCTATTTCCAAGCACAATTAAGGAAAGCAAGCATGTACACAGAGCAGTGCTCCTGCAGAGCAACTAACTGCTGGCCCTCTGCTTGAGAAGGGTGAAAATCCCCCACATCCTTGCACTGAGAAAGAAGCTCTGTGCAGAAAACTCAGCTCTTATGTGGGATGACAAAACCACAGACAAATTGAAGTATTTCAAAGATGAGGTGCAGAAGAACAGATAGCATCTTTTACTAAACCAACTAACAGTAGTTACGAAAAAAATGACAAGCTTCTGAGACAGAAACTTAAATAGGTCTACACATGATGACAGTGCATTCCTGTAACCTCAGGTTGGTCAGCACTTAAATCAGGAAGAGAGAACTTTGACACGGACAAGAAAAAGCATTTTTTAAATGCTAAAACACATTTGTACAGGACATGATCGTTCCACACACGTAAGTGGTGATGAAGGCTTTTGGATCCACTCACTCACAGCTGAAGCCAGACCCACACACTTGTTCCAAGGACTGTTCTACTGCAAAGCACAGGAATTTCTTACAACAGCAGTAATATCACAATAGAACAACTCTGTGCAAAAAAAATCACAACAACCCATGGTCACAGCAGTTACGTTTATTTCTAAAATAAGCAGCAATCATACTGACAGTCCTTGCACCAAAGCCAAACCTCTAGGATCTGCCAATAGAACTGACACCTACAGCTGGAGCTGAAATGGGTAGAGAGGACCACCAGAACTACATGAAACAAAGTAAGGAACAAAACTTCAACAGAGGAATTCATGCAAGTGGCCGACCACCTGTCTTTGCAGGTCTGAAACGTCACTACGCAGAGGCACCTGCGTCCAGGACAGCTGAGGATCTGCAGCTGCCATCTGAGCCACTGCTCCCACTGGGAGCACCAGCAGTGGCTGTGCTGAGGGCTCTGATGAAGCCTCACCACCAGACAGGGATGATGCAGGAGGCGCACCCCGGCCCTGGGGCCTCCAACCCAACTCCTGACTCCTGCCAAGGTGGTGCTGCTCTCCCTGGTCCACCTCACTGCTCTGCCAGGGCTGTGCTCCTGCAGCAGGGCTGAATCCCGCAGCACAGGCTGGAGTTGGCTGTTGGCAGTTGGGAAGCTGCACAAAGCAGCAAGCTCTGGTAAAAAGGAGCTGATGATTTTACTCGGAACAGTTTGTGCAGTTTAGCCTCTGCTTGAAATCAGGAGCAGAGTCCACGCAGGGCATGCAGGAACAGTCTGCTGCAGACGTGAGTCTCCCTTTCGTTTCCATTTCCCAGAAGGGAAGGACAATTCTGAAAGCGAAGGCTGTGCCCGCGAGTGACTCAGCCATGCAGGCCAGCAGGGCTTTGTGCAGAGCGCAGGGCAGTCCCAGGGAGACGTGCCTGCCTGGAAGCTCATTTGCCTTTGCTACGCACGGAATGGGATTTTCCTCCTTCGCACGCAGCTCTCAGCCTTTTCCCACACGGATTATTACTGTAAGCCCAACACAACCGCAGCGGCAGCCAACAGCCGCAGTACGAGCTGCAGTGCTGTGTGCTTTGTGCCCACTCTCCTCCCCACTTCGGAGCCGTTCCGTGGTCCTCGCATGCATCCCACTGCCACTGCTTGGTAAACAAACCAGGAACAAAGTGCTGCTGTCACCTCACCGCAGTGGCCATTTGTCACTGTAAAGAATTTTCCATTTTATAGCTGGCTGTAATTAAATTGCTTATTCTTATGTCAAGATTGAGAATAATGCTCCCACTGCTTTCGCTAGGCCTGCCTCAGGAATAATGCTAACCCTGTGCTGGAATCAGGGAGGTTTAAGAGGCCTTATTAAAAAGCTCCCCTTATAGGCATTACATTAGCAATTTAAAAACTCACTTTCAATTATGAGCTTTTCCAAAAGCATATTTCAGCTGTTGTGCTCTACTACACAGCATCCACTGATTAAAAATTCCCCATCAGTGAGCAATCGTGGAAGTGATTTGTAATTCTGAACCAGATTCCCTAATTCTCTGCAGCCACTGGAGCAGCTCTGGAGCTCACGGCTGTGGGAGCTCCGTGCAGTGCTGCCCCAGTGCAGCTTCCACACAGCACACTGCCGAGTGCTGGTCGGCACGGGCTGCCTATGGCACGCAGTGCTTTGACTGCTGCATGCAATGAACGCAGCTCAAACCTACGGAAAGGATCTCACTCCCACAGGGACTGCCCTGTTGTTACACACATCTGTGCTGTGCTCACGGGCAGTACTTCTGGGGCTCTGCACTCATCACATCAATTCCAGGCATTCCTGCTTTGAATCCTGCTACGTCTTCTATGAAGTTCTTCAGGTGCAACAAGCAGTTTCTTTAAAACCCAGCGCTGAAGCGATTCCCTGGCCAACAAAGCACAACCTGCAGCAACGGAGCAGAGCCCAAACACACCTGAACACCAGCACCTCAGCACTGGCTGCCCCAGGCAGCAAAAGCAGCAGCGCAGCCAGAGCTGCACGCAGAGCTCTGGAGCACCACAGCCCTGCTGCGGGGAGCAGCACCAGGCCCTGCAGCAAGGCACCATGCTGCTCCTTCTCCAAGAGCTCTCACTCTGCTCTTGGGAAAGCCCCAACTGGTTGCCACGGGAACAAAATCCTCTGTTTCCATGGCAGCTGCAGCACTGGCTGGCTCTTACAGATGTGGCCTTGCAGGCTGCGGTGTGCTCCATGGGTTCTCCTATACAGCACAGAGCTATGGTCCCAATGTCCCAGGGTTGGTGGCACTGTGACATGCTCCACACAGAGCTCCTGGCTGTTACAACATGGGTCCACCTGCTCTGGGCCAGGCTGCACACAGCATCGCTCCTAAGAACACATGGCCTGCAGCTGCAATCCAACATATCTGGAAGCACTGACAGCACACATATGACACCTCAGTTCATGCAAAAATAACATCTGCATCCATGGCTATCAAGAGCCGCTGTTTGCTAGTACCCTACAAGGAATCCTCTTTGGGGAGGGAGGAGAGGAACGAGGTGCAGAATTTCAGGCTGCTTAACTCTGGTTTTGCATTATTTTCAGCCTCCTAGGCAATCAAAACTAATGCTTCACACAGGCACCGAGACCATAATCAAACTCAGGAGACAAGCACTGCATGCTGCTTCACTCCCAGCCCGGCCCCACACGCAGCCCTGCCCTGCAGACACCTCCTGCCAGATGCAGCAGCCTGCAGCACAGTGTGCTCAGTCCTCAGACCGCAGGACCTGATGGGCCATTTGCCAGCAGCTCGTGGCCCAGCTTTTCCATTTGTTTAACCCCGGACAAGGAAGGCAGCCAAAGAGTGCTGTTGTATTCTCAGATGTGATTTCACCCTCACATGCATGCAGTGAGCACTGTGATTTCAGGAAACGAGCACACTGTTTGCTGCAAGAGCTGCCTTGGCTCATCTGCAAAGGACGAGAACTGTGCCGGCAATGGGTCGGTGCCCGTGGTGGTTCTGGGCACCCTATGCTGCTCCCTCCAGTTCACAGAGGAGAGAAATATCCACACAGGAATACTTCACAGAATCAGAAATCTGTCTGCAGCAGGGAATCGTGAGAAGTAAAAACATGCAGTGTTTGCATATGATTAACACTTGGGACTCTGATAAAAAAACACGTTGGGCCACAACCTCTGGAACACAACTGTACTTGAAACACAGCTATCTACAGGTCAGAAGGATCCAGCTCCCACAAGCTCAGCTTGAAACAAAGCCCAGAGAGTTACTGGGGCAGAAGGTAAGGAGGATCCAAATCAGGAAGACAAAGAATAAATTCAGAGAGGATAAAAACCAACCAACAAGCCAAAACCTGCGGCAAGCAGCTGGAACACACAGCACAGACACAACCCAAGCAGAGGCATGGCTGCTCCCAGCACCAACCACCAGGACTGTGCTGGCCTCTACCAGCTCAGCAGATCCACCCTGTTCCTGGACAGCACTTTCAAGGCTAAGAGAAATCCAGCATTAAAAAAAAATACTGAAGTTTGCAATAACAAGGTGTTAAGTTTGGTTGTGGGTTTTGTATTTTTTTTTTTTTTTAATAAACTCTGTGATTCAGGAATTACAAGACATTTTCAATGATGCTAATAGATATGGATGCCCAAAACACCTAAAAATGCTGTGCTGGTTGTTATTTAGAAGACTATCCCAAACAAACTGCTTTAATTTGGCTCTTGCACCAAATATGTCAGTGGTACAACCCTAACAATAACCTGCAAGCTAAAACCAACAGCACTGCATTGCAGGTAGCAATTGTTACTGATGACAAACTCACTGGACTGGGGACTCCTAAGCCTGTCTGAGCCTGTGCACGGACACACAGCTGGCAGCTCCAGGAGGCAGCACGCAGCCATGCTCCAGCACAGCCACGTTCCTTAGAGATGGGAAGGGATGAGCGCAGGGACACACTGCATCTACTTGCTGCAGGGCTCTGGTATTTTTCTTGGAGGCATCTCATCACGGTGCTGTGGGCGACAAAGCAGGGGCTGGATGTGTCCTGACGCAAATGCAA